AAGCAAGCAACCAGCCAGCCCTCCCTCCCTTCTCTCCGTGGCTGGGGCGAACGGCCGCCTCCGACGTTACCCAACCGGGCCGGCGCATCGCTCCGTGTTCCCTCTTCTCTCCCTCTCCTCAGGGCCGTGCTGGCCGCTGCCTCCCGCGTCCCCCCAGCATCTCCTCCCTCCGCCTCGGAGCTCAGCCAGGAACTCCCACCGCTCCCCTTCCCTTCCCCTTGGGGGCGACAGAGGCGGCGCGGAGCCCCCTCCTCGCGCGGCCTTGGGAACGGCTCTCGCCTCAGGCCGAGAGCGAGCGAGGAACAGGCACAGGAGGGAGGGGGAGCGGGGGGCGGAGGGAGAGGAAAGGAGTGACAGCGCCACAGCCAATCGGAAGGAGGACGTAGCCTTGTTAACTTGAGCCATTTTTTCAATGAATTTACTCCGTGCAGGCACGGAGTAAATTCATTGAAAAAAAGGGGGGGAGGCTGCAAGGCTGGTGGCGGCTCCGCGGGCCATCAGTCGAGGTCTGGGGGGCCGGATTTGGCCCGCAGGCCTTGCTTTTGACACCTGTGGGATAGATGGTTGTCTAATAACAAAGGTGTGAGAAAACTTTGGCCCTTTATATGTTTTGGCTTACAGTTTTCATTAGCCTCAACCAACAAGGCCAATGGAAAGGAGCTGTGGTTCACAACACTGGGAGAGTGGAAGGGCTGTCTCTCTGTCTCTCTCTCTTCAAGTGAAGAAAGCACTAATTCTACCTAGAATATGATTCATGCTTATAGCAGCTTCACATATCTTCACCTATTCATTCAAATAAATTTCTGGACATCATATACAGTGGTGCCCCGCATAGCAACGTTAATCCGTTCCAGGATAAACATCGCTATCCGGATTCGTCGCTATGCGGGGGGGGGAACCCATAGGAACACATTAAACTGTTTAATGTGTTCCTATTGGGGAAAAACTCACCGGTAAATGAAGATTCCCCCATCCGGCTGCCATTTTCGCTGCCCGGTAAGCGAGGGCAGGGCGTGAAAATGCTGTGGGCGGCCATATTCTGCACCCGGCGGCCATTTTGGAACCGCCGATCAGCTGTTTTCTAAACATCACAATGCAAAGCTGTTTT